CATATATAGAACGGAAGTTATGAAAGTTTAAAGCTGAACTCAAGGATATTATAATCATTCTTTATTAATCAAACAATGAATATAGAATGTATTTAAATTTTAAATACATTTAAAAGAATCTCACAGTTAAAAGCTCTGAAAAACTCCACATTCGTTGGCTGCATTCCGATATTTCCGATATTTACTGTCAGCAATTGTCAGGACTGAAAATCTATAGTATTGTAGCCGTTATCTTGGATTACAGCAGCAGAAACAAAAAAATTGCGAGGAAGAATGCATGAATATCTCTCGTATTAGATATTAGAGATCGATAATCCCTAACCATAAAGTGTCTGTTTGAGAGAAAAATATATGAATATAAATATGCAGAAACAATCTTAGATGAAACAAATAAAATAAACCGTACTTGTCTTATGATCATAGAATTTAACGAGTACTTTTCGAACGTTGAATTCAACAATCGTGAAACGTTAAATTGGGGGCGTCCAATAAATCTCAAGCTAATAAAAATGATAGTAGAGAATCCGTCGTATACCATTAGCATTCGACACACGTTTCAAGTAGGCTTGCCTAATGAGAAGAAAGCGAATTGGTGAAAATTGAGACAACGGACGTTTCGCCGTGCTATAACTGTCGGCTGATTTATATTCGAGGAACACACAGTGAGAAGAAGCGAGATGAAAGAGAGAAAGATGTGCGCGTGCATGAAATTTGTAACATAACTCTCGCACGACGAATCGATAGTCTATAACGGCAACGTTTGAAGGCGAAAAAGTAATTTCGCATAAAACTAACGAGAGCGCCGGGAACCCGGGTTTTCCATTCTTTTTTTTTCCTCCCTCTTTTCCGCGCTTTCGATACGTTTCCCTTTTCCTGTTTTCGCCGTTCATTAAATGGTCGTTACGGTCATTTTCCCTCTTCTATTATCTTCATCGCGCGCATGTGGACCAGTGGACCACACGCTAACTTTTCTCATTCGGGCTTTAAACTGCAGCCGGTGCGACGGCGGTGTAACCGTGCTGCATTTGCTATCTTTACTCACGCGCCTGCAACGGATTTATTCGCGAACTGCTGCCACGCAGTTCGCAACTGTGCCGAGCTCGTATATCACGAGGTGCTAATATCCGAAATGTGCGCAATATAGCGCCGCATAAGTCACGAGTGCACTTTTACTACTAAATTAAATAGGGAAATTAATGATCTTAAACGCCATCACATTTTTTAACGCCGTGTTTCAGAGAGTTTGATTTTAGAACGCCCCACAGTTTGCTATTTAGGAGAATAATCTCATATGAGTGAAATAAAACAGGAATTAGTTCGTAATTAATGGAAAAATTATTCTTCTATTTTTTTTAAGTAATTAATAGTTTATAGAAATATTGCCGATTTCACGGCCGATGAGAAAACACATCTCGCGGTAAAAAGAATCAGAGCGCTAAATATATGTATGCTTGATATATGTATGTTTAAATTTCTGCGAGTTTCTTTTTCCATCTTGATGACTAAATGATTGATTGCGCAAAACGCTTTCACCGCGAATTACGGTATCCGCAAACGTAGATAAATGAATAGCCGTCCGCGAAATATCTCGAAGAGAGCGCAAGTATGTGTGTTTCTGTGTCTTCTTCCTCGGGCTATAACACATAGGAAACCATCGACCGTCAGACACAGGCACAAATCATCGTTCCCAGGACGAATCGATCGTTGACCTAAACCGGTCTTCCCGAACGAGACTCGCGAGAGAAAGGAAATAAAGGAAGATCGGGACATATGTTATCTGTCGACACAAGACTTTCGGAGACGACGATCAAGAGACACGGTAGTGTGTCTCGCATCAAGTACGTCCCATTCACACGGTGAGAAAACGACGCGAGGTCCGACAACATGTTAGTCGGAAAAAAGTTATCGGCGCGTTTCTGCAAATATGCGTCGTTTTCTGGTCACGACACGCGACAAATCTAAAAGCGTTTTGCCGAGAAAACGCCGAGAAAATGCGACCGTGAGAAAGTGCAATCGTAACCGTAATTTATGCGCGCGTTGTATTTAATTGTAAGTTGCATAGTAAATTACGCAATAGTGGTCCGACCATGTATCGGGAATCAATCGCTTCTAAATTTAATGACTATATATTTTCTGAAGCGCTTATTTGTAACGCTAATGTGTTCCGTCTTACGAGTCCATTCACGCCCTGCCATACATTACGTCGAAAACGTATTGTAGGTACGTAAAAGGAAGAAGCGCTCGCTTCAACTCTCAATGCGTTGGGATATATATCTCACTAAGCTGACCGTACTATATCAAGTGTACGTGATCTGTTTGCATTGATGCAACAGTTGAAAGAAGAAATTAGATATTATGTTTACATATTATGTAATTAAATTATATGTAATTAAATATTCTATTATAATGATAGATATATTTAATTAGACATCTATATATATATTACTAATATTGAAAATCTTCATAGAAATGATTTATACTTTTCCATATACAGAATGAACCGTTTGAGGACATATACAGATTAGATTTAATATTAATTTGTTTAATATTTTTCTTAAAATATATTGTTTTAATGATATAATCTCAGCATATGCAATTATATGATAGAAGTAGATATGAAACACAGACGAAAGTTTGTGCCTTTATGACATCATCCAAACTCCAAAATATAAAATTCACTTTTTGAAAACATAATTACATAAATGTGTTTGGAGGGCATTTAAAGTGCTTACATTGAGCGGGCCATTCTGCGTTGTCTCTAATAAACGTTATTATTTTTTTTAATTCTTGTGCGCTTGATTGTACTTTAAAACAATTTTATGTTGCGAAACATTTCAATTTTTTAACCACTGTTGACCCAATATATGCTGACCCGATCGAGATATTGTATATACATATACAAGAACAGTCTCGAGCAAATAAAAAAATTTAATATTAGTTTTACGGTGTATCAGTGTGCGCTTTTTTGCACGCCGAATCTTTCAATCTTTCTGCGAGGACATTAGAAAACAATTGGACGAAGTTCTGCAATGCGGAACCAACTCGAAAACCTTATACTTTTTCGCTAGAGCAAATTTCGCGAAACTTTTGAAATAAAATTCTGCGCCAGCGTTATCTCCAAACATAATGACCGAACTAGAATCCTCTTCAAACAATTCCTCTTACAATTCCATGCATTATATGCATTTTTAGAAAATCTCCTATCGACCTCCTGCAATTCACTTTGCAATATGGAACTAAAAATCACGAAAATGGCGATTGGTTCTTTATTGCATTAATTGCTTCCAAGTTTATCTTCGAGGCCCATAGCTAGATTAGAAATAAAACTCTGTTACTTGCAATCGATTGAACGTACTAACTTGATATTGAGTAATAGGATATCTTAGCGGGAATCAGACCTGAGACAAAGCACCCGCGAGAATTGGATGATGAATTGGAGCAATTAGCCGGGAATCGGGAATCAAGCATCAGGTGGAAAATTAGAGCGAAAGAGATCGAGCGCCGCGCCGAAGTCACTTCAACTCGTCGAAGTGGAAATTCCGTCCCGGGCTAAACTGGGAATTTGGAAAACACGTGAAAGCGCGTTTCGCCCCTTACCTCAGCTGCGCTTGCTTTAAATTCATAAGCACCGGCGCATAATTTGCATCGGGCGATAATTATTCCACGAACGAAATTTCGAACGAAAAGTGTTGCCCGAGTCGTAACATAAGAGGCGTAATGGTTTAAATATATAACATATATATAATATAAGCCGCGTGTGTATAGAATATTAAGTGGCCGCCGCCGTATGCTGCATTACATATCTAATGAATCGATAAACATCGTTCTACTTTCGAAAGTTTCCGCGGTGAGATTTCAATGCGACGTGTTACACAGATTATGGGGCCTCGCGAGAAACGAGACGCGCGTGTGGCAATTGATCCGCCGCCGAGAGGACAAGCCGCACTCCGTAAGGTAAATGTACCAATGCTGGAACACTTAAGACCTATGTCTGGACACCTTTATCATTTTAGTTTTTAAATATATGTATAATGCGAGTTAAAACCAAGGATAAAAATATAATACGAGAAAAATATTTTTATCTTTGATTCTTTGATTTTAATTCGCGTTATAACTTATTTAAGGACTAAAATGATAAAAATGTCCAGACATACGTACGTGTCCAGGCATTGGTACATTTACCTTAATGTGAAGCTGACTACTGAATATCGCGAACAGATGATGATTTATTTATCTTCGATCTATACATTACGCATTTAGTCACGGGATGGACATAAATATCGATTGCTACGCGCGGATGTTCAAATTAATAGCCGTTATCAGGTTCGCTGTCACATTTTACGTTGAATCATCATCAGGGTAGGATAATACCTTGAATTTTATCAACGAAACGTGAGCGAGTAATCTCGCAGCCGTTGGCTAAATCTCGCAACGAATTATTAACTTTAAGGTCGTAATTACAAGCGAGATACACCGGGTTATGTATCCGCTCGGCGCGGATAATTGTAGCGCCTCTCTGTCTACCGCCATAAAAAAAAACACAGAAGTAAAACTTTATTACGCTGAGAGTCCGCGTTTATGCCGAGATAGTTGGACCCCCGTGATGGGAAATAGCATCCGCGATGAAGAATACTAAAAGCTGTAGCCACCCTGCCGTGGAAAACGGCAAGTTAACGTGGTCGGGGAACTTTTTTATCATAGGTCCATAAAATGCGACAGCATGAAGACATTCAAGCACGTATATGTGCTTTTAAGAAAATCTAGAAAAATAAGAAGATACACAACTCTAAAAGACGTCTCGGAGCGTCTCGAGGATTGAGCTCCTCGTGACGTTCTTCCAGCGTCTTTGCGCTTCTTTCCACCTGTCCCTGTGGTTCTTTTCCATCCGCAAATTAATTTTTACTTATTTATCGCTTCCATATGTCTCGCCGTAGATGTGCCCACATAAGCTAATTCCAATCCTCTCCTGCTTCGCGTAAATCATCATGGCTCTACGACAAGCCCCGCACTCACGCAGCCTCTCTCTTTGTCTTTCCGCAGAGTAACCTGACAGACGGGGAAGAAGATCTGCCTGAAGACGCTTTCTCGCTGCTGTCGGTGCTCCTAGTTGGTTCGCTAAACTTTCCATTTGATCGATCGTGAGTCGCCCCTCGAAGACAGCCTCCCGAGAGTGCCTATACTCTCGGAAGCTCCGATCCGACCCCGTCCAATCATACCGATGGTAGTCTCTGCCTTTCTCTCCCTCTCCCTAGGCTCTTCCCGACACCCTTTCCCGACTGCCTTACCCGCTCACCTTCCCCGTGTTGTTTTCCCTCGACATCTCGAACGCTTTCTTGCCGCTTAATATAACCGATAGAATCGAATAAATTATGATTGGACGCGAGTCCCGTGGGTAAGTGTCCCGTAATTTATGTCCTATCGATGCGCGCCACAAAGTCCGTTCAGCAATGCCCTTTACGTAACACTTCTGCACCATGGTACTGTTGTAATACAATATTTTGCTAGAAATAAAAGAATTTCGACTGCGTAAAGACCTTTTTATTTAACAGACGAAGAGTCGAAATATACCTTGTTTTTAAGCATTTTATTAAAAATTTAACAGAATACGCGGAAGATGCATCACAATTAATTGATAATTTATTAAATATTCAAGATTCGAAGTACTTTCTCGGCGAACTTAATTCTTTTTCAAGTAAGATGTTTGTATAAAATAAGAAATGTGATAAATAAAGAGTTGCAACCAATGCAGATTTTCTAAATTTCGAGAGGTAACAAGATTTTTCCTGACCGTTGTTTTAGCGTGTACATTACTTTACTATATAGGGTGCTTACGTTATCGATAAAATAAAGGTTCGCGAAGCGAATTATATACTCTGCTGAATCTAGCCTTTTAAAGGGGATATGCATACGGGGTGAACCAGAACGGATTTACCGGCTCTTCGTTCATTTTGTTCACCCAGCTTCACCTGTATTTTTCATCCTTCTAGCATTCGCGACAGATTAATTACAGAGATACGTGGTAATGCCAGGTATTAAAAGTCGCAGGAGATTACGGCCACCCTCGAATTTTCCCCTCACTCTGAGTAATCGACGCCAATCTCGCCAGAAACAATTTTATTAGGGTGAAGGTCGGGGCTTCCGAGATCCTTCCATAAATATATATAATATCGATTATATCGCGAAGTAAAAGAGTCTCAATATATATATCTCCAAAATTCCTCAAAAAGATATGTCTATCCAGCATCCGATAATAGCCGATAACACGCCGATATTCGTGCCGCGTCAGCGTGACGCGGGCTTTTCTCGATTCGTCATCAAAATTCGATGAATAGCCGGCTGCGAATCATATTTCATCGGCCGACCGACGACACAACGCCCGCGCCGGATTTCTTAAAGGCCCGCGCGCTTCGAGGGGTGACGCGTTGTATGGTTGAACAGTAGCGTGTCCTGGCGATTCTCCGCTAGACGGATCTCCGCGATATCCCGCAGGACTCCTCCTCGTGATCCTGATATTCTTCTCCGTCGCCGGCAACGTCCTGGTCTGCGTGGCGATCTACACCGACCGCGGGCTACGGAGGATCGGCAACCTCTTCCTGGCCTCCCTGGCCGTCGCCGACCTCTTCGTCGGTGGGCTGGTGATGACCTTTGCCGGGGTCAACGATCTCCTCGGCTACTGGATCTTCGGAATGTGGTTTTGCGACATCTGGATCGCCTTCGATGTTATGTGCAGCACTGCCTCTATCCTGAATCTATGCGCCATATCGCTCGACCGTTACATACACATCAAGGATCCCCTCAGGTGAGACTACTGATGGATAGCTTCAAAGAAGGATCATCGAACGACTCATAAATTAAAACTTACAAACTATTTTTTAGCGTGGCTAAAAGACAGTTTTATAAGATAAAACCATTTTACACGATATATTTTTGAAATCGTGAAGAATTTAAAATTGTTATACAAAATAAGGTCAAAATTGTACTCGAAAGCAAATTTAATCTTAAAAAAAAATGTATATAAATTTTGAAGATGAGAATTATAGAGATTTAGAGCAAATGCGAGAGTTTATCAAACATTGTTTTAGGTACGGCCGTTGGGTGACCAGAAGAGTTGCCATTGGCGGCATCGTCGTTGTGTGGCTCCTAGCAGGACTCATATCCTTTGTACCGATCAGTCTAGATCTTCACAGGAATGATGATGATGATCAACCTGCGTTTGACGAAGTGGAGGTAAGTTGCCCGTAGAATTTAATCGCGTTGATTTATTTATATCAATATAGCTCAATATATCGAATAAATTCAATATAACATATATCGTCTAATTTAAATACGTAAAACGCGATGAAATGATTTTCCACTCTGAGCTCTTCCGAGCAAACTGTTAGTGGATGAATTCCATCTACTTTAATATTTCAAGTGTACGCAATATTATAAAAATCCGGCAAAATTATAAATATTGCCCGACGAAAATTTCTAAGTGCGTTCCGCGATGTATCAACCATGTGTGAGATTGAATTCGTATCGAGCTTCATAAAAAAAAAAATACGATGAATGTGTGGTGCGGTTGGTGCTTTCGATTCGAATACCGCAGGGATTAAAAATAAATGACATTTCTCATTTTACCCCATCACGCCATTCACGACTGAGGCAGTTTACGCAATCCTCGCCGTTTCTCCGTTAATTACTCATCTTTTACCTTTACAGGAGCACCCTACGTGTGCCCTAGACATTACACCCACCTATGCGGTGGTGTCCTCTTGCATATCTTTCTACGTGCCCTGCATCGTGATGCTGGGTATTTACTGCAGGTAAGACCGCCGCTCGCTGGCGCCCACCGCTAACTACTCCGGAGGCGAATTAATTTAACTTTTTACTTCCGCACTCTCGCCGTAATCATTTGCCGTGATCTTCGTGAGTGACGCAGCTCCGGCAGCTCGTATGCCCTTCTATATAAAACGTGATTAACTACGGTAACTTGCGACTCACGAATGCGCCTGAAGATAAAAATGATGCGCTCGGAAAGACATCGTCATTTGAAAATTCATAAAATGTATAAATTACAAAAATGCTGAATGTACCGCGTTTAGCGGAACAACGCATGCTGATGAATTTCCAATGAGCGCTTCATCTCTTCATCGCTTTCGTTTCTTTGATATGCAATACAAAAATGTAATTATATTTTTTCATTTCGCTGCTGTAAAGTGACAGTAAAGTGTTCTCTGATAATGATTAATAAATCAAGAGATCATTCCACGCGTTAAAAAATACTTTCTCTTTCAGGCTCTATTGCTACGCGCAGAAACACGTGAAGAGTATCCGAGCAGTGACGAAGCTGCCGGACACCTCCATGGCCAAGAGTTTTCGCTCGAAGAGCAGTCGCTGCAAGCCACCGAAGCCGCAGACGAAGACGAAGCCAACCAGCCCTTACCACGTCTCCGACCACAAGGCCGCGATCACCGTCGGCGTAATCATGGGCGTATTCCTGGTATGCTGGGTACCCTTCTTCTGCGTCAACATCGTCGCAGCCTACTGCAAGACCTGCATATCTCACCGAGCGTTCCAGGTGCGACTCCTTGCGCAGACTGCATCCCAAGGCGTTCATTTCATCTTAACTACGTTTTAGAGATGTGCTAACTATTCAAATACGAATCGAATCAAATCATACTTGATTTGATGATGTAGATACATTCAATGAGTGCTTTCAGTATTACAACCTTAAAAAGAGTTTAGATATATTATATAATTAATATTATTTTTACACATCAAAATATTCTCTTATTATCTACATGTTAAAATTCAATCTTATAATAATTATATTGTTAATTAAAAATTATATTTCAACGATTCGATTCAATTTCATTCGATTCGCTTCAATTCGACATAAAAACCCTCGATTTGCACATCTCTACTACGTTCTTTTTTTTCCCCCAATTTAAAACTGATTCTTTTCTCTCGTAAAGAAAAGGTTGAGAGATTCTTTCATTCAAATTGATGAAAACATCTTGGAAATTCCTATTATAAGATTCTCCTTTCTAAAGAGATGTAAGAACTTTTGTGTCCCATGTAGAACAGTTCTTGCTCGCGCACAAATTTTTACAAAGGTGTGCTAAAGTCATTTCTTCCTCCCGAACAGGTTCTCACGTGGTTCGGCTACAGTAACTCGGCCTTCAACCCGATAATCTACAGCATCTTCAACACTGAGTTTCGGGAGGCGTTCAAGAGGATCCTCACGAAGGGGGCACGCGCGCGGGGCAACCAGCCGTCGACCAGCGAGTGCGGTGAGTTCCGTTCAGTGGTGGTGCAGAAGCGGAACGGCTCCATGGTCGAGTGTAACATCAGTCCGAGATCGAGCGCGGACAGCTGCCAGGTCGGCATGATGGCTCAACGACATCGCGACACCATCGTCAGTGCCATATAAACGAGCGTCCCTCTCGACTCTCGGTCATCTTAAACGATCTCTTTCTGCTGGGTCTCGCTCTCGCTGCTTACCTCCCGAAATTCGTCGCGGTCGTCCGATCGTTACTCGTCGATCTTGTGTCAAAGAATTTTCCGACATCGTCCGGCGAGGAGTAACGACGCATTAGCGCGCGAATTGAAACATGCCTCACGCAAGAAGAATTCGTTCTTCGTCTCGTGGCGTGTTAATCCTCTACGATCTTTCGCGTCGCAGGGGACACATCGATTTTACAAAACATTTTTATTTTCAGCATTTTTAGATTTACAGTCTTCGTTTTGCTGTTTCGAGTCCCGCAGGGAGTGAAAAAGCCATCGTGATACAATCCATGACAGATTGCACGATTTCTCTAATGGAACGATCGCTTTATTGTTATTGTTTTCGTACGAACTTACGTCAGTGTGTAAATATAAAGTCAGCATACGGCACCGCCTGTACCAACAAGCGGGGTTTACTCTCGCGTGCTAAAGTTTAGTATTTGCATCCGCGAAGGATTTGAACGCCAAACCGCCCGCCTGCTCAAAGGAAGACTGCTGCTGCAGTTGCGACGACGTTGCGCTCTCGCTATACCGCCGCTCGCGTAAGATAAGCATAATTGAGGACTGTTGAATAATACTCTCAGCCATATTATTGAATCTCTCCTCACGTAATATCGATCAATGTTCTAGTTAGCCTGTTCGTTGATTTGGCCCGAGGATTCTCTTGGTCCAAACCGGGTAAACGCGTTTGCTCGTATATCCTCGGCGTCGGATTTCTAGAGAAGCAATATCGTTTAATGCAGGAGCAATGCAAATTGAGAATCGTTTGCTGGATATTAAAATGAGCGCTTCGGGTACGTTGTCTCCGCGGAGTCGTCGTCGCGACTCGATTACGATTAAGCGTAATGATAATTACGAGTGACGCGCGAGTTTTTTTTCGAAGTGCGATATTTTCGTTGTAACATATTCGTATGATCGTGGAATATTTTCTCTTTTTGTTTTTATAGCGAAGGAGCGAAGGCTGTGGTGTTCGACCGTGTAAGCGCGGCATTTCGCGAAGACATCAATCATTGTAATTAAGACAATCACCGGAACCCAAACTTCGAAACATATCCCGAAGACATAATCCACCGAAATCGTAGTATTGTCTTGTTCTCTTTTTTTTCATTCTGATTTTTTTTTAATTTTTTTTTTAAGCAGTACGACGACAGGCATAGAATGGGATTTGTCGATTATTAGAAGAAATCCAAGTGTAGCGCTTAGGATACTAATCTCGTCAAGCAATCTCTTTAATGGAGCAATGTCGATAGTCGATCTACGATGTTAAAAGCTGGATGTTACTAAAAAAAAAATGCTGATATGTTTCTGAATAGTAACGTCTGTCGAAACATCATGGGAAATATATATATATAAAAAAAGGAAAAAAAATTTAATAGCAATAGGTCAGCGCAGCGGCGCGCGCGACGCGCCGTTCCGTGAACTATAGAATTCATTTTCCATCCTGTAAATAGCCATGTAATTATTTTTCTATTTGACGGGCGCGAAGAGAGACATACACGGCGGGATACTCGCAGAAATGCGAGGGTCTCTCGTTTCATGGGCGCGCTCATTGCGGATGTACGCGAAATCGTCGTCGAGCACCCGTCGAATCTCAATTCAATTCTGCATCACATATCCGAGTGGAAGGAAACGAGCCAATTTGGCGTTCGCGAGGATCCGTCGAGCTTCCTTGGTACATCTATATCTACGATACAAAACGCATTACGATCCGGCGCGAGAGGAAACGAAAAGGAATGTCACATGCGAATGCAGACGCGTTGCAGACTGTAGAAACGGTTGTAGGGAATAGCGTGGAACTCTCTAGACAGCAGGATCTGTGCGCAATGTTGATGTATACTACTGATATATTCGAATGACCGTTCTCTGTAAATATATTAGACTAAGACTTCGACAAGGGTATCTTGACTCGTGACTTTTTACTGATTTCCTCTTTCGTCCGATTCCTACGTCCCAATGAAACAATGGAAAAACAAACAGCAAGCGCCGAAAAAGGTATTCTTATCGCATACACTTATATCCCCGGATAGCCAAATCTGTCGAGAACAGATTTTGAAAGTACCTGCTGCAAATTTTGTTGATAGAATGTCAGCAGAAATGTAACAGAATCTGTTAACGGAACGTAATGGCATATTGAAACTGAGCAAAATCAACCATTTCGCAACCATTTAAAGGGTGTATTCCGTTCAAATGTTTATGAAATGACAGATTCTATTCGGTTTCTGTCGACAATCTGCTGTCAGATTATATTGACACAGGCTTTGCCGGCAAAACGAGTTTAATGCGGGCGCAGATAATACCAGATCTGTTGTGATATCTGAGCAAATCTGCTGCCAATCTATTATACCTCGAGCAGTTTGCTTATTGGGTCTATGATACTTATAAGTATAGATACTTGTACATACTAATAAAATTTAATCTGCCTGAAGTTAACAATTGGTATTTCATTCATTTATAATTTGTACTTCTACAAACTCTAATTTGTAAATCGCATGTTTTTTTGTCATAACTCGGAATATATGATGTTGTATTTAGCGTGATTGGGATATTTAATTTTGACTACTAAATTTCATCCCTCGATGCATAATTAGTAAACAATTAATAGATATATAAATATTTATTAATTCTTTATTTTTTTAAACAATATCAAATTATTACGTTCGATATGCCTTTCTTTTATGCCATCGTTGTTGGAAAATTCAGGCGCGGTGTTCGTCCACGTGCGATTTCCCTTCGGGATATTTAGAAAATCGAGCAAACTACTGCTCAATCTCGGCATAATTGGATACAATATTAAAGCACCTATTCTACTGCTTTCTAGAGCAAGCGATATCACAGCTTTAAGTTCCTCGATCGAATTTGCATCGTCGACTCGCTTCTTCAGCTGCCAAGGCTCGTGATACGCCACCATCTTATTCGCGCAATGAAGCATACTCATGACCGCGTCCACGACATGATGTAAATTGTATTCCTCGTAACTCTCGCGCGCTTTTTTGCTCACGGATTTCAAAGCTTCTCTGGTCTCATCAGCTACCTCAGACTGCAACACATTCCAGTATTTCGCCGGATCGGGAAACTCTTTGGACGGATTGACCGCTTTACCCGCGCAACGACTGACTAGATTGCCCAGTGTATCCGCCAACTCGGAATTCAATACGTTAACAATTTTCGTTGAACTATAATCTGTGAACGGATTTTTAAAAGACGTGATGTAAATGATATGTAACAAGTAAATGCACGATTCGTCTTACTTGCGTCGTTCTGCGGCACCGCTTCTCTCAGGATAAAGTATCGCAATCCCTCGTCTGAATACTCATTTGCAGCTTCAAATGGCGATATTACGTTTCCCTTTGATTTCGACATTTTTTTATGATCAACAGTCCAATGAGCGTGACACAGTAGCGTCTTCGGAGGCTCGAGACCTGCCGCTATTAAGAATGCTGGCCAATAGATACCATGAAACTTCAAAATATCTTTTCCAATTATCTACAATAATTTTTTTTTATATATTCCATGTTTTAATATGACAAATTTCATGTAATATTCATTATTAGCTAAAAATTATGATCCGTACTTGAATGGTGGGTGGCCAAAATTCTTTGTATGATTCATTTGGATATCCTAAGACCGTTAAATAATTTACTAAGGCATCCATCCATACGTATACCGAATGAGACTCATCGCGCGGGGAAGGTATAGCCCATGGCACCTTGTTTCTAATTCTAGTAATGCTTAAGTCTTGTAAACATGCACCTTCCTCTACCCACTGTGATAATGTTCTGTGATACAGCGCGGGTCTAACTGTGTTTTCTGCAAAAAAAAAGTAATCCAAAATTTAGAATTTGCAGTCGTTAAAAGAAAGCGAGATAATGAATTAGTTTAAGAGCAACTGAACTCTTTTTATACCATCTTTGAGCCAATACTTGAGATCATCTTGAAATGCGCTAAGTCGGAATTTGTAATTTTCTTCCTCCGTCCATTCTACTTTGTTTCCCGATTCCGCGGAGACTTTGATTACTTTACCGGTCGAATCTTTCTGTTCCACCAATTCTGCATCAGAGAGGAACGCTTCGTCCGATACGCAATACCATCCCGAGTACTTTCCTAGATAGATATGCCCTCGTTCTTCTAACCGTTTCTGAAAATGTTCAATTTCTCAATGTGAACGACACGATATCGCAAACATACACGAGATTGATATTCAGAAATAAAATTTGTTCTAAGAACCCAAAAGTGATACACTGCGTCACAGTGCTGCTTTTCAGTGGTTCTAATGAAACGCGAATAATCCACTTCAAACCTATCGCACATTTCCCTGAATTGCTGTGAAATTCTTGTACAGTACTCAAGATTCGGTAAACCAGCTGCGGCTGCGGCGGCTTTGATTTTGTTACCGTGCTCGTCGGTGCCAGTGGTAAGAAATGTTTTATGGCCCAACATGCTGTTGTATCGAGCAACAGCATCGGCCAGAACTGCGCTGTACAAATGTCCAATATGAGGACCTAACATATAAAATATACATTTGTATCTGTTCCTATTATAATGGTGACTTACGACTAATAAATGAGAATTTTTAACTTGAAAAAAGTTACATACCAGCGTTTACGTAAAAAATCGGCGTAGTAATGTACTTATTTTGAGATAAATCTTTAACATAGTGCCTCTTTATTGTCAGACTCCAAGATGACCGTACATTTTTAAATAGAAATGGAAATATCGCTGATTTCGAGGGCTGATACTTTGCAATTACGTGTTTAACTGAAATTTAAATTTATTATTATTATTATGTGATTAATTAACACTTATTAGCACTTGGAAAATTTAAAATAAAAAAAGTAAAGCAAAGTGTTGTTATATCATATTTTTCATAATAACAAAAGCTTGATATCGCATACTAAAAGATAGACATAAAAGAAATTTAACAATATTATTTAATATGTTATAATATTATTTGTTACAGGCATAGTTAAATATAAATAAAAAATAATGCATTGGAGTATAAGAGCGTTTTTCATAAATTTATGAAAGAAATGATATATGAGAGTTCATCTTAAAAATATTTATTTCCTACTAGTTCTGTACATATAGTCACATTAAATAACAAATAGCAATATAGACGTTACAACAATTCTTATTTCTCCGTCTCAACATTTTGCGACTCTAAGGATATTGTTTCTAACTGAGCTATGAGATCCATATGCTTAAATTCGTTAGGTCTGTTGGTAAACGTTTCGAGCAACCGCAATCTGTGTTCGTTATCGTTGCAATAATATAGCTGCAATTCATTAGCCAGGCATTGTGCCTCCTGCACTTGCAGTAAATTTGTATCAAATTCCCCACGCATGAGTACAATGCCCTTATCGTCTCTCAATTCAGTGTAGTGTATCATGGTCAAACACTCAGGCGCGTTCTCTTTATGCGTCTGGTACCATAATAGCGGAGTCATGTGCACTTCCGAGCCGTAAAATTGACACATTATAAATTCATAGCCCTGCTCTCTAGGTAATGGCAAGAGAAAGGTGGAATATTGCTTGCCGCGCGCAAACATCTTATCGTACTGCTCGGGCGTCATAGTACCGCAGATACAGTCCTTCCGCTTGTGATACTCATTCCATATTTCTATAATCTCCTCTTTCGACCGATCATTTATCATGTCAACTTTCATAATGCTATCCAATCGCGCTTCTTTCGCCTGCGTACCAGGTTCCAAAGCTGGCTTTGCCTCAGTTTGGTAGAAACTCGCAGCTTTCTCACGTTTCTCTTTAACAATAACGATTTGAACACATACTTTATCTCAACAATATATTTCTTTACTTAAAAGCTAGCATCCTTAGCATCGATAAATCATAAGAACCATAATATCTAAACGTTATTTGTTACTAATTCCTAGACAGAAATGCCAAGAAACGAAGGTAAATGCGCGCCAAATTTATAATTGTCAGAAAGAAGGAAAATATAATTAAATTGTTTCGGACAATCAGGAAACAGTGTTGTGCAGAAATAGCAGCCTTGCGAGCCTCGTGAGAATCATATACCTTGCTTCTCGCGAGTCTCCTCTTGCTGTTCGACGCGTTGCAGAAACTCCTGCGGGCTGGTCTGCTGCAGCCTCGCGATCTTCTCGGCGTACTTGTCGTAATAGGGATTCCTCTGCAACTCCTCGAGAACCTTTTCGAGCCTCGCCCGGCTCGTCATGATGCACCTCTCGTCGCTCGTCCTCGCGGTTACCCGGTTACCCTTCAGATGCCTGGCCAAACCTAGGCGCGTCGCGTTTCGCAGTAAAACGCTTGCCATGAATATCCAGCGGTACGGGCGATACTGCTGATATATTGGCGATACCTTAAACACGCGTGAAATTAGCCGAAAGAAGCACGTTACCCATAGGAGTTCTAAATTAAGAATAAGAGGTTAGGGGACGGAGCACGGAGCAGTGAGCACGCCAGCACATATCCATTTTGGAAATTGGTACTACGTAGCTACGTAACATACATATATTTTCCGACATTGCCGATAAAACATCATTTTGCTATTGCAAAATATGATGCGTCCGTGTTACATTTGCAAATTGCGCGATCTGATAACGCATAATTTAATTTCATTTAATCTGGTACTAGGGAAAGGTATATATAAGCAATATTTTTAATTAAAGGCCGTCCTGCTTGTATCGAATGTCATTGCGATTAAATGCATTTTGGACTTTGCATTTTCCTAGTTATAAATTAAATATTAATTAACTCTCTTATCTTAAATTTTTTAACTAAAATTTTGTCCGATAGAAACAGGTCAACCTATAGAGGCCCTCCACCACCCCCGCCAATTCCGATCGGCGGTCCTCTTTTCTTTAAATATTCTCAAATCTCGATTGTAATTGATGGTTGCGGATCAGTTTAATATTTATATGTTTATACATTTGCAGATGTAGCACAGGACGCGCAAAATGATGTTTTATCGGCAGTGTCGGAAAATGAACGTGGCTACGTAGTACCAATTTCGAGAATGGATGTACTGACGGTAGTGCACGAGGGCTTTCGACGGTCCCACGAAAAAGGCAGCCTCTCTCAGACTTCATACCGTACATACATATGTCTTCTATAATTCAAACAGGCACGAGGAACAGACAACAGAATACAGAGGAAGTAACACCGTGCTGAATCGAAATGACATAATTTTCAACCGGACGAGAAAGAGAATTGCAAAATATTTTAACGTGGGAATTATTTATAAGATAGGAATTAAGGTGCCGCCAATGTTGTACAGGACAAGATACTGCCTCTCAAGCAAGTCCGCAATTTGTTGGGTAAAGATTCAATTAGGTAAGCACAAAATATATATTAATTAAAGATAATACATAAACACATTGATTTGTGCGAAATACATTCATTTCGGTATACAAGAAGTTCGAGAAGATCGTGGGTACTAAGATGTCTGCGTACCTTATTCTTCTTATGAATTTAATATTAACTACGTTTCTCTCAAGCCTAATTTAGCCTAATATTATTTTATGCTATTTAATGACGATATTTAATGCTCACGTAAATGTCTTCCCTCAGAGAATATTAGTCGCAGAACCACGTCAGTTACAATGCATCCTACAACTGATTCTGAAGTAAATACTGATGTAAGTACCATGCATGGAAATAAGAGACCTATAGACGATGGCAGTGAGAATGAGGCCAAGATACAAAAGACAGAAGCAGAAACGGTACAAATGACAGAAGCAGAAATGGTACAAAGAATCAAGAGGAAAAATCACGCCATGTTATTGGGCTACGTTGGCAAAGACTATTACGGCATGCAAAGAAATCCTGGTATGAAGACTATCGAGGAAGATTTGATTAGTGCCTTACTGAAGGCAGACCTGATAACTCAAGAACAATTTGAAAATATACGTGCAATCAATTTTCAAAGAGCCGCACGTACAGACAAGGGAGTATCGGCAATTAGGCAGGTTGTGTCACTGAAGCTACGTAAGATGAATATTTTAAATATTAATTTAGTATATATCTTTTTTTCAGAATTATTGAAAAACAATTTTGATTTATATTGATCATAATGTGTTTATATTTAACATATCATCTAATTTTACAATCCCATTTCTGTTTAAATTATTATTGTTAATAAAACTTGGTGCTATCAAGTTTAAAAACAATAAAAGAAATAAACTTTTTATTTAAACTATTATATAAATATTTATATTACTATGTTATAAATATCAAACTTTTTTTGCAGCGGAGAACACTGATAAGACAGTAATAAATCAATTCTTACCTGATGTAATCAGAGTATTTGGAATAAAACGCGTAACAAAGGGTTTCAATAGCAAAAATCAATGTGACGCACGTACTTATAGATATATCATTCCTTCTTTTGCATTTGCATTAGAAGATCAGAGTTTATTAAAACTTGGAGAGGAAGTTAACGAAGATGAGAGAATCAAACAGTTATCGGTTATTGACGGAAAGCCATACACGGATTATAGATTATCTCCAGACTCTTTAAATAGATTAAATTCGATTTTAAAACTTATGGAAGGTTCTCACAACTTTCATAACTTCACGTCGAAAGTGTAAGTCGATATCAATTCAGAAGTACGTGCCAATTCATTTAGGTATCTAAAACTGAAACACATTCTATTTAATTCAGGAAACCATTAGATCCACGTGCACGGCGCTACATAATCAGTTTCTGCTGCTCGGAGACGTTTGTCTCAAACGGTATAGAATTTGCGGTATTAGAAGTTAAAGGGCAGAGCTTCATGTTGCATCAAATTCGAAAAATGGTCGCAACTATAACCGCAGTTGCGAGAAACATGGTACCCGAGGAGACAATCAATGAAGCGTTCAAGACAATGGACAAGATGGACATACCACTTGCACCCAGCTTAGGATTGTGTCTGTGTCATGTAAGAAAATTTGATAGCGCATATTTTGCTAGTATTTACGAGTATGTACCCAATTCGACTCTTAGTTGGAACGTTCGATTGGCCGATGAAAGCAATGAGTATTTCTGCTGAACTTGTTAATAAACCTAGTCGGCGCGGGCAGGTGCTCGCGAAAAAGCGCATTTGCCTACGCACGGCTAGTTAGTGTAGTGTCGGACTGCCATCACAGTATTTATTACAATATTTAAAAACATCGTTAATAAAATAGTTAATATTAAACTTGTAATCTCTTGTGAGATTAATATTAAATTTTCTAAGGACACATTATTCAAGGAATAAATATATTTACAGGTGCATTACGATAATTACAGTAAAAGATATGGCGCGGACGGTCTCCATGAAACGCTAGATTGGAAGGAGTGTGAAGAAGAAGTACAGAAGTTTCAGAAAGCGTATATTTTGCAGCATATGGTGGACACAGAAATTTCAGAACAAACGTATCCTTTTTAAACACAATACCTCATGTAATAAATTTTTCCATCTATTTAAATACCTTAACTAATATTATATAGGACGTTGAAGTGGCTCGCTGGTCTTCCTTTTTATTCGTTTAGTAACAGAGATGTACTACCTGTGGAGGACGATGAAAAACAACTACCCGTTGAGAATGATGAACAACAAGAAACTGTGCATAATGTCGTTTAGGTGTAAATGTTAGGTGTAAAATAGCTCAGTCTCTGTATCAAACATATTAAGAAATATTAAAGAAAGTTTTTAAATTATTACTAAAGTTTCCTTTTTGCAAAATTGATTACAAATTTCCTGAAATTACAAAGCGATTCTGTAAAACCGAAAACAGCGATGATATCAGTGTTTTTTAATCATATTCTGACGTAAAATGTCTATTATCTTTATCTCATAAAGTGCTTTGAACCGAATTGAAAATATGTGCGCATGTATACGGTCATCCTTTCTCGATTTGTTGATGGTTCAAATATTTTTGCTGCGTATAAATCGAATATGTACTTCCCCCATACTTTTTACTACAAGCGCATACGAAGATGACGCGCGTGCTTCGCCAGCGTTGGGTAATTCCAGTCTCGTGGTATCCAGTATTTCCAGTGGAGGGTCGCAGTGACTGGTCGAGCGCCGAGATATAAGGAGGATTGCGGATTGCAATTCCTGACATTTCGTATACGGTGTGCTTTACCATGCGGATTGTTCAACGGATTCCAACATTACTAATAATTGTTTACGGTAAGCAAAAAAACATATTATGACGCAAACTTTGTGATAAATAAGAATCATATCACGAGATGTTGATAAAAAAATGTTGTGATTGTAACTTTATAGAAAAATTTTGTACCATAACTTTCCTTCCCGAAGATCTTTTATTTATCAAATAGATGTGGCGCAACAGAATATTAAATAGAAATACAATAATATATTCTTGATAAAATAGTATTTTTTGATAAGTGCTCATAGAGATATATTTAGATTTAAAAATGCAACTGTTTTCACTGGTACCGTTAATATTACCTTACATTCATGAGAAAATTTCTAAAAAAAAGAATTTTTTTTGTAAAACTTGTTTTTATTTATCACGCATCTGTTAAGAAAAATTTTGTATTATATATTAATTGTACATCCGTATGTTCCAAGAGATTTCCGAAGTAATCTCAACCAGTTTCAGAAACTGGTTTAATGACCTTGAACCTCAGTGCAGAAGAATCTATCTCGCTTACATGTTTACTCATGCTGGATAGATAATAAGCGAAGAAGATACGAATACACATAAAAGCATGTCTCTACCACATTTATTATTAGTTTTCTTATATTACCAGTCGATGTGATCAATCAATCTATAATTGATTTCCCTATCGCAAAAGATATGATCATGAAACAGGATTCTTCTACGTATATTATTGGAAAAATCTCAATTATAATTATAATTATTTGACAAATCATTTCAACTTACACAATTACTCAACACATAAAATAACTGGATAGATTTTTCTATCTGGCGATTTTTCTATCTCTATTTCTTCAATTTTACAGTGTGCATTGGTTCTGTCTATACACAAACAGATGATTGCGGGTAAGTATTTGCGCGTCGAAGTAATCTAATGTTCAGATAAGTAAGTATCAACTAATTTAATCATTTGGACAGACCACAGACACAGACATTTCAATGTAGCAATGGAGAATGTATAGCCAGCGCGTTATTATGCGATGGCAAAACGGACTGCAGGGATTTATCCGACGAGACAGAGGCCGCATGTAAAGGGCCACACATTTTCTGTCATAACAACGCCTTTCGTTGTAATTATGGTGCCTGTATAGACAGAGACTTGATGTGTAACGGCGTTTCCAACTGCGCCGACAACAGTGACGAAACGCAGCCCCAGTGCTTAAGAAATACAACGAAAAGATGTATACCGAATGAGTTTCAGTGTGACAACGGCCAGTGCATTTCTAGCGACAATGTGTGTGACGGAACTCGAAATTGTGCGGATGGTTCTGACGAAACATCTAAGATATGCCAATCGTTAAAGTGAGAATCTTTTATACATGATTGAAGTACGATTCCTAGTTGTATGTACATTGACCAACTAGTATGAGAAACAAACGTCTGCCAATTTATTTGCAGTTGTCCTTCGACAGCTTTTCGTTGTGCTTATGGAGCTTGTATCGATGGTGATCTACGATGTAACAGAGTAGACGACTGCGCCGATGGTTCAGACGAGGACCAGAGATTATGTAGGACTGGATGGCCGGTAGTTTTACCGTCGGTGCGACCAACAACGGGAACTACACGATCGCCACCGACTCCTGCACCAACACGTCCTTCTGGAACACCTTCTGGCACAAACACTTGCAAAGCACCTCCGCAACCGCAAAACGGTCGCTGGAAGTTACATCGATCGCAGTGCCCAGATAGACAGGACTGTAACGTTCCAGAAGGAACGGAACTGGGATTAGGATCTTATCTCGTCTACTCTTGTGATTCGGGATATAAAATAAGAGGTTCGCCCGACGTTAGCTGCAGTATCGGGGGAAAATGGCTTAATATACCAATTTGCAAAGGTATTAAACTAGTAATTATATATTTTTAACTATTTTAAGATAAATAAATATGGATTCTTAAATATTGAATATTTCAGTCAAAGAAATTCATCATCTTCAAAACGATCAGAATTATACATGTTAATTGTTGACAATGTTTGTTTGATAGCAATACTCTGCAAAGCTTTAGCCGCACCATCAATCAAATCTGAATGTCGGTACGACGATGAATGGATATCATGCAAATCTCCAGTTCCACCAAGAACAAGAGCAACATTGTCATGTGCAAACAGTTATCGACCTGAAACTAATCAACATCTACTGTCCGGACAAGGAACGAACGTGAGATGTAAAGCGAATGGTGAATGGGAACCAGAACCTATGCGATGTGTTCCAGGTCCGGTCACGATAAATATTTACATTAATGATAATCAACTTGCGTTCCAAACCACTTTGGATAGAAACAATGCTACGTTTATCGAAGTGTTGGATGATAGAATCATTATACATACAAATGCCAATAATCCAAATTATCCGAACATAAATGTTAGAGTACCAAAGCCAAATAATGATACAGCAGCAGATGTGCCTTGGGCATGGTCTTAAGATTATAAAAAAATGATAGTACAATTATAAGTAGTAGAATTTCGAACAATATTTTTACAGTTGGCATGTCAATATCCCCATTGAGATAATTCACATACCTGTGTCATTCTGTATTACAATTTCTATTTAAGTTATGATTTGCAATTGTTTCCTAATGAACCAAAGCTTTGATGAAAGTATTTAAATATAGTTTTTAATTACGCTGTGTATAAGATTATAATTTATTAAGTTAAGTGCACATACATACATATACACACATCGAATATATTTAATAAACTATTACGTGACCTCGATATATCTCAATTTTTTTTTCCATCCAATTAGTCATAAAATTATCACACAATGACGCGCAATGGTTACGGTTACTGTGAATTATCTCTTCCTCTTTTTTTTCTATACTCACGAGTGCTCAATACATTCTCTTGTATTATCACGCTAAGACGATTTCTCCAACCGAAATATTTGTTGTAGTATGCGGCACTCTACCTCTCAATTATCAACCGACCGTTGTAGGCGGTGTTAGACCGAATATCACGGAATTTCCGTGGCACGCCTCGATGTATCGCGATGAACCAGGCGAGCCAAAGAAATACTTCTGTGGAGCGTCTATCATTCAAGAAAATCTCTTGATAACGGCAGCTCATTGTGTATACGACGAGAACAATAGGCAACCGATTGATGCCAACAAAATTTATATATTATCGGGAAACCTTTTTCGCGATTACAATAATCCCTTTCACGATCCAAATCTCGTTAAAAGAAATCAGGTTTGCAAATGTTCTAATGCGATGTAAAGTAATCTGTATAAAATATTGTCGATCGAAATGTTACACATACCTTCTTCCAGGTGAAACGTATTTACATCGCACGAGATTATCTAGGATACATAGGAAATTACCTGTGGGATATCGCGGTATTAGAACTCGTCACACCATTTGTATTGTCATCCTATTTAGTTCCTGCGTGCATAGATACTTTAAGCTTTGGGAGTGTATTGGAACCGGGTACTTATGGAAAGGTAGCGGGATTTGGTAGAACCGCAACTGGTGAATCCAGCGCAGTTTTACAGGCTCTGACAGTGCCCGTAATCTCAGTCAGCCAGTGCAGGTCCGCGAGCCAAAGTGTTAATACGGAACAATATATCACCAACGATAAGTTTTGCGCAGGCTACACAAATGGTTAGTAAAAGAGCATTTATGTGTATCATAAATCAGCATGTGACGCTATATTATTTTACTAAATTTATCAGAAATATATTTGCAAAAGATATATGACTACTTCAATTTAAGTAAATGTTACATAAGAAAAGATAATAAGGAAAGCAAAAAAAAAAACAAATTTAAGAACGATTGTTCTATATATGCAAAGATGCGAAAAATAGAAAGATAACTTACATAAGCATTGTGTTTCAGGTTCTTCCGTTTGTGATGGTGACAGTGGCGGCGGATTAGTCTTTAAAACCAATGATTTGTGGTATCTCCGAGGTATCGTTAGCGTTTCTCTCGGCACGATAAAAGAGGGTGGAAGTTTTCATTGTAACTACAACTTGTATTCCTTATATACAGAACTCTCCAGGCATATTTCATGGATACAAGATGTAATTATCAAAATAGAACAAAATCAGACGCATATATTATGCACAGAACAATCTTCAATAAGATGTTCCTAAATTTATTGATAGAAGTACCGATTATTATGTGCAATCACCGAAAAAAAGCATTTACCTTGTGTGCGCCATGTATAGTCTACATTATACTTGATAATTATCTCTATTTTTTTTATTGAATGCGTAATTATGTGAAGTTGCAACTCTGTTGAACAATTAAAGACTTGAGAGATAATTTCTTGTACGTATGTGATAAATGAAATTAATTTCACAATTCTAGCTGTGCTTGTTATTTTATGGGTTTTAGAAATTCTTATTACTTTAATACATAAATGTAGGTAGAAGACGGAAAAAATGGATGAACAGATAATAGAAATTTAAATCCCATACATATTTTAATTAATTTTATATATGCCAAGTTGTACAAAACAGAATAAAAAAAAATTTTTTTACACATTACGTTTATACATAATGTACATTTAAATATATTTTTCACTATATGACACAATATCTACAATAAAACATTTTTTAAAAATGGGAGACGAATGATTCTGTGAAATTGTTGTATAATCATATAAATTGACTATTGCAACTTACAAGCACTCGGATTCCTTTAGTGCATTTTCTTTATTGGATGGTACAGATGGTAGTGCAGCTACATCTTTGCCGGGTGAAACCAAACCTGTATCATATATTTCATTATTTTGTATGAAATGTACTAATAAACTCTACAATATTTACCTTCCATACGTAAGTCTTGCAAACGTTGCTTCAATTTTTCAATCTCTGGATTTGCATCAGGAACTGCGGTGGAAACTTCTACATCATCCTCGTCCAACAATTCCGCTAATTCCCTTTCCAATTCGGTCTCAGAGTCTGCGTTGTTTAGGGTTTCAGATAAAACTGTATCTATCTCTTTGTTCTCCTCTAAAACCTGGTCACCGAATAACGGGTATTACTACTTGTGTTATATCACAAGTAATTGCAAGTAATACATATACCATGTACAACCACTTACCTCATTAATGTCGTCCATAATGTCTCGAACGCCATATTCCGTTAAACCATTTTGTCCCATTTTCTTCAATACATCGGACCCAGTTTTATAAGCAGATAATACAGCAGAGTTGGAATGCGCGTCTTCAATATTGGTGATGAGAACGCGCAGATTCGCAAGGGCTTGCGCGCGCTTTTCTATAGTCTTTTCCAATTCCATTTTTCTCCTTAATCGCGTTTTTGCCAGCTGACGCAACTCTTTCCCCAAGTACATTTTAGCTTCATTAATAATATTAAGCTTCTCTTGCTCCATAAGCTCTATTTCCTTGATTAGCTCATTTTCCTGTTTTATCAGTTTATACATGCCTTCTTCCACCTCTGTAATTTCATTTGCCGCTTTCACGGCAATTTTAACCAGTACGTCACCATTTGGATTGGAGCTCTTCTTAAAAGCCACCTTTTTCCTATGTCTTAACCACTCCAGGGTTAATCTCACTGCATTCTCCGAAATCTGCTTCTTTGTTTTGCTCTTGCAATATTCTACTATCTCCAATATCGGGAACAAAACGTTATCCTTTCTAACTTCGGCAATGGAAAGGATAACATCACCTAATTCTTGCACAATTCGCAGATGTACGTATCTGACTTCTGTGTTATTTGTCTTTTGGCCTACAACGTACGTCTTCACTTTGGAAAACGACCAGGTAATTGGTTTTTTCACAAATATGTCGATTGACCATGCTGTCCATGTTTCGCACGGTTCTTTAAAAAAGTCAGTCTCTTGAATTATCTCGTTATTTCTAGAAAATTTCACAAAATATATATATAACAATACACAGCAAAATATACAACATTAAAATATTAAATCGTAAACTATGTGCTTCATTTTTATCACAAATACGTGCCTTCATCATACGTGATTGTCTAATATCTGACAGCAAAACGTTTAATATATCTAATATATTTAATAGTTGCGCGACAATACCTTAGAAGCTCCTCAATCACGGTAGCCAGACAGAGCGGCGCGCAGCCCCTTCTCTTGAAGGCTTCGTTCAAGTCGACGATAGTAAAACTGCATTGCATGGTGTGTTTCAACCGCTCGTATATCAGATCGTTCCAGAACTTGTATTTAGAGATCCAATCCTGCGGGTTGGCAGATTTACTGCGAAACGGCGAAAACAACGCGCTCATTCTTTCCTCTTGATTCCAACATTCTGGCAATTTTTCTGCTGGTAGCGGCGACGTGCCGACGCTCCCACCGACCGTTTTACCGTCGACGTCGCTCATAATGTCAATTGAGTTAAAATCTCGCAACGTAACTTAGGTTATAAAAATATTGTCTGATCACAGCGGATGCGTTCTATTTTCGCGCACGCACATTTTCCGTCGACTTTCCTTCCATCTTCGTTGACCTCGTTCCAACTAACTGAGAAAAGTGCTATAAATAGAAAAGTATATATTATTTACACGATTGCAGTTAAATAAAAAGAAACGTAGAAAGACTCCTCAAAACGTAACGTGCAATAATAAATAACGTACGTGTTGTTTTGCAATCTTGATGTCACGTGAACATTCGCCAGATACTTAAATTCAGTCCAAAGATCGTCTACGCGTCTTACAAATTAAAGCACTATTTTCTTATTCAGATCGTTCTCAATATTCATTTATTTGTTGTCAGCTGCTTCGAGATCGGAGATACTCGTGAGTGATCGGAACCAATCGGAATCAAAACAATGAACACCGTGAAAGGGAAATACCGGCATTACCGGCCGACGGTGACGGGTGAAGCGCAGAACGCGGAGCAGCGCCGGCGAGTCGCATTTTCTTATCAGTTACGGATAAAAGCGGAATGCGTCCCGCATTTGCTGCACGAGATGGCATAGCGGAGGCTTCACGCGAATCACGCGTGGACGTGGAGCCAAATGGCGCCATCGCGATCGATCCGCCTCGAAAAGGGATAAGCGAGGAGCGAGGAACGCCGGCTAACGGCTAACCTTGACAGGAAGCGAGGCCTATTTTTAATTGCAGCCTTCGTCTCCTCGCTCGTCTTTGCGTCACGTATCGAGGTGCGCCGGATCGATAGTGCGCGATCCGTAACGACACGTGCGTGCGTTTTCCGCGCGCGCTTCTCTGCGCTCGAAAGGAAAACCGTCGCTGAGGTGCCGTAAAAACCAGGCGCGTCAGGCACACCGAAGGTAGCGAACGGAATACGAGACGCGTGCAGGTGAAACCATCATACCTGCGTCGTGTCAAACGAATTACATAAATTTCTCGCAAATGA